ACGGAATGACCTCGTTAGACGAGCTAATCCTGTACCATATTACGCCCCGTACCATGGATACAAACTACACATTGACCAAAACGAAAAGTTGAAAGACTTTGGGGTAACACATATTTGCTTCAGCGATGGTCACAGCAGTAARATAGTTGGAGTGGTGACCATGCCTATAAAAAATCCCATTATGATATATGATCTTCTGTTTCGGTAAGTTCAAATATCATTCAGGTACAGTACTTAGCCGCTTATAAGAACCCATTTTTCAAATTTAGCCTAAACATGTTCTTAAGTAAATGGTGCTTAGTGGAATKTTAGGCTACGCAGGTTCTTAAATATAGGTTCTTTTATGTCCCTTATGTATTGAAAATTTACAAGGTTTTCAAACATTATTTATACCAAATTTAAAAGTGCATACATGTTGAAGTTCACTATAGTTTGTTGAGTATGTTTTATCATTTTTTTACATGACTAAATTTTTGAGGTTAACTTGTATAAGAGGCTTTCTATAAGAACCTGTTTCAAATTGGCTAAATAGGTTCTTATGTAAATGGGGTCTAAATTGATATTTTTAGGCTAACAGGTTCTTAAATTGCAGGTTCTCTTATAAGCGGGTAAGTACTGTACCGCCATATTAAAAAAAATATATCATTTATTACACAACAAGGGCGGATTCAGCCAGATATTTAGGGGGGGGGCTGTGATCTAAGAGAGGCTTTCAATAACAGGGGTAGGTAGAAATGATTTTTCACGTTTTTTTAATGGACTTCGTTTTTAGCTTCAATAATTACACGATTAAGTTTTCAARGTCAATATATTCTTTACCTTACTTGTACAACGGTCATTCTAAGTTATTTGCTATTATTGTTTTGTTTCTTTTATTATTATATTTTCTGAAGTCGAGGAGGGGGGGCTACAGCCCCCTTTTGCCCACCCCTGGATCCGCCCTTGCACAAGCCGGGGTACCCAGGGTTTTCAATCAGATACTCGACGAAAGATGAGTTGTCAGAATCAAATCTAAAATGTTACGGGTCACTGACCTCCGTCGTGTATCAGAATTCTCACAGAATGTAAACTAAGCAAAATCCCCAGAAGATGTCGTTAAAGCAAGACTTTACGAATCTGCAAAGTGTGTAGCTGCAGCCTCTCGAATTTGTAGACAGGGGACTTGCAATTCATTTGGAGAAAAGATCGTTTTTAGAGAAAATATTTGCTTTTGAATTTATAGCGAGCAGCTACATGTCTCACCTTCACTCGGAAGTTAAAAAAACTCGAAAGTCTAAACCTTTTAGGACAAAGAATTATCTAATGTGAAAGAACTTTATCGTAGAATCTTCGTCGAGTATCTGATTGAAAACCGGTTTTGATTTTCAACCAATAATATCGCTCTGATATCAACGGACCAATCAGCTGCAACATTCAGATCTTGAATGTAAACACTGACATGGAAGTGAGATTCGCTATCCGTGCCGCCAGAGGCTGGTTTACGGTTCGGCCTTCGGCCTCAAGGACGGCGCTTCGCGCCGTATATAAACTACAARAACGAGTAAATCCAGCCTCTGGTTCCCAGGGTAAAGCCGGGGTAACCTTTGTATGGAGATTTTTCACGTTTTTTAAAAGCATTTAGTATCCAATTCYTTCTCTWCAATTGTTGAATTCAGGCGCAAATAAGATTCTGTGCAATTTCTTACAAAATGTTTCAGGGCTAAAGACAATGCGCTCCATCGGTTTCTTGTCTTATCGGTTTCTTGTCTTRAATCAGAACTACTCCCGCACTGTTTCACTGTTTGGCTCACTCACTACATAAAAAAGTTAACTAAATTTTCATCATTCATAAATACTAGGCCTCTGTTACTCAGTGATGGCATATGGGATATGATAAGAGCAGACCATGGCACTGAATGGTGCCTTGTGCTTTTTATTCAAAGCTATCTATCTCATATGCGAGGATTCCAGCAATGCCAGCCTTACTACCAATCTAAATCTTCAGATGTAAGTATTGTTTACAGATTCCAAAAC